TTAACTTATAAACAAGTCACAGGCAAGAACATATTCATACAACAGTTTGAAGTTAGTAGAATCATTCATGTGCATCCACTGTTTTAGGAATGTAAAATCTGAACGTCTTTGAGGCAGCTGAGAATAACTCAAATGAAAATAAAAATTAGCCACACTTCTACATGAAGAAACCATGTAAGAGATCATTTCAGCAAAGATGCTCCTACAGCTCTTGAAGGGCATCTTCTAAACAGCTCAAGAGTAAAGTACTGCTCAGAGTTTTGTCAGTTTGTAGAGAAGGGAGTGTTGCTTTTAGCAGCCGTTCTTATTCACACTGAGTAATTCGTTACTCCGTCACCAGCCTCACCAAAATGGTTAGAATTGCTTCTGAGGAAATAGAGGTGGGTGGAAGAGCAGTATTCGCCCCTCAGTGGAAAGTGTTATATATGGGTGCCGGGAAATGTATTGAGATATTTACCTTGGAAAGAGGAAAACTTACATAAAAGTTTATGCTAATAAACATGTAATGAGCAACTGCGGAAATGAAATTGGTGGAAGCGTATGAAGATAAAATAAATAAAACTAATAGCGGCTGCTATGTTAGCAGCTTAGGGCTTAGAATTGTTGAAACTATAGGTTTATGTTACTTGAAAAATATTATAAACCTGGAAGATTAAGCAAGAGTCATGTGAGAGCGGAAATTGTGAACTTTTAATTAAAGACTGTCAGGATGCATGGGCATACAGGATCAAAATAAGGTCATGAATGCTATCCTGATTCTGGCATTTCCTAAACCTTGAATGCCTAACTTTGCAACATTAATGTTTCCTTAAACTATTTTGTCTTTGTAGCTATTTATATAGTGACCCAAAGTGCACGTGACATTTTACAGAAAATAGAGTAGAACTGTATTTGTCAAGTGTTTGCAATCTAAATTTATGTAAGTCACAGCAGGAGCTAGTAACAAACAGTAGGGGTAACTGTTAAAAACATACTGCTTAGTGCTTAAGTAGCTGTGGTAACCATAGTATATTCCTAAAAGTAGGCAGGAAACCAGAATTTAGGCGGAAATACTACAATTATAATGAAGCTGGGAATGCTGGGAATCTAGGTCTGGCTACACTGAATGCATATCTTTGTGTGGTTGGATTTGTTATGGCCATGCACAGATTTGTGAAGATGCTGGCCCAAGGCTTCAAGAACTTGAATTGGTTCCAAATTTACTAACAAATTTATTTTGATAAGGATAAATCATTTAAGGGCAGGTTTCTCAAACGCACTGAAACAAATAAAGATACAGTGAGGCTCTTCCTAAAATTGAAAATCTCTACAGGCAGCTCTGGATGCCTCAGTTTCCCGCTTGGACAGTAGTTACACTAGTAGTTGCTTGTCATGTGCTCGCATTGGGTTTTTTCATTGACAAGTTCTTTAGGGCTGGTCTCCCCTTTTCGATTTTCAGTGACAAGTATGAAGGATCCCTGATTTTGGTTTGGGCTCTAGGTTAAACTTGGTTGCAATTCCTTCTGCTCCTAAAATACTTTCCCATTACAGAAGATGACTTAGTGTCCTCATTATGAATTAGAGAACCTTTACTTTCTTGGACTGTTTGAACTCTTGTGTATCTGCTTCCTTAAGGGGAGTTATTTCTCATAAACTAAATGTCAAGTGGTATGGTTTATGCCTTTCATTGCAGCACAGGCTTCCCTCTTGCCCCAAATTACTTGTCAGATACGTGAACGGAAGTATGAATTCCTTGACTAGTGAATTGATTGTATAGAATATTAAGGTTCTCATGACATTTCATTTGTTTCTTTGTTATTTTATATATGTCATATGCCTTTTTCTGTTCATACCATGCCTCTACAGTTTGTCATGAAGTAAAAGAGTACTTCTGGTTAATCTGATCTGTGGTGATGACATTAAAATTAAAAGAAAGATCAGGGATCTGTGTGATCAGTTGACATTGTGGCAACAGTATGAGTATTGAAAAAACAGGCCTATGGAAGATTGGATCATCCAGACTGACATTGTAAAGGAGGTAAGAAGCTACAAGGTGAGACTGTAGCCCATTAAATCCATTGGGAATTTTTTGAGGATTTAAACTACAGTCTTCACCTTTAGGAAATTACAACTAAGAAGACATAATCATGTAGAGAGACTGGCAAGTGGAGAATCTTGACAGGTATATACATTTTTATATTGTTAAAGATGTATTTCTTTTTATGGACATCTATATGTCCATTAGCAGAACAAATTGAAGGGCCTGAAGAATAGCTCTGATTTGCAGTCCATTATGTTCAAATTACAAATGCAGTATCAAGAAGTTACTGTCAAGAAAACGTTGGAAAGTACATAAACTATATAACAAAAAACATTTGTGAGAGATGTAACTTACACAGTAATAGCTGAAAAAAAAAAAAAAAAAAAAAAGAGGAAAATACCTTTTGTGTAAAACTTAGAAGGAGCCGCCTGTGTTTTGTGCCACTTGAAACAGTTGTATCCTAGCAATTCTAAGTAATAATAATAAACATAACAAAACTTAAAATGTAGTAGTTAAATGAGCCATAAAAATGAGAAGTCCATAATTAGTATTGTATTGTGTCAGGTAATCGGGTTAAAATAAACTAATGTTTGCACTTACTTGTATTTGGGAGAAAATTAAGTGTAGCTGTTTGAGTGGTGCTACATACATTCCATCCTGGAATGAAAATCACATTGTTTTGACTGCGTTATTTCTGTATCCATGCAAACCATCCTCATCACTCTATAGTTCTTACCTTCTTAAGAACTGGGGTTGTGTCATTTGAAATTAGTGGGTATAAGGCCACTTAGAGAGATAAAGGGGAGCAGCTATTTGAAAAAATGAAATGCAGCAGTCAAAGTTAAGAAGAAAGGGCATTTTCCTGGTAAATGTTTTCCTAAATGGGAATTTTTCAGTGTGGTGTTTTGCTCGTGTGTTTGGCAGTCACTTGGAATCAAGTGCAGACTTGTGCTACATTGTGGGCTTGGCAATGACAATTTGTGTGTGTGTGGTGCTTTAGTTATATTAGCCCTGGAGGCAGAGTTAACACTTGCAGTGGGACAAGAGTATTTGCAGTCATCAGAGAACTTTGCAGTCAGCTTCAATAACATCACTCCATTTTTTTCACTTTTTTTTAACATTTTTTTTGGCAGCAAAGCTCTTAGTAGAACCATCTGTCTTTCTATTAGTGTTTTTGAGTCCTGTTTTGAAGCTTCTTTGCTTGGCAAAGTCACTTTCATCCTTGGAAACCATTTAAAAAAAAGTTCTGTGGCTTTTTGCCGAAGAAGAGTACTATGCAAAAATTCCACACGGCTGTTCATTTTTGTTCTAAAAGAATACAGTTACTTTGTCTTTGTCTTAAAAAAAAAAAAAAAAAAAAACCACAACAAAACCCCAAACAAAACAAACAAAAAGTAAATACATGAAGACAAGGCAGACATTGGGCAGTTCTAGGGTGACTGAGTGGGGATAGAGAAATCATCACATTTTATATATTATTTTCTCCAGCATCAGTTAAAAGTACATATGTCTTCTAGTTAACAGAATCAGAATAGAAAGGAGAATACTGAAGTAACAAAAAATGGATCGAGTTAGTTCAGTGATTGGAGCTACATCTACTTTAGCTTCAATCCCAACCTTAATCTCCCAGTACAAGAATTTCTGTCAACAGTGCTCCTGAACTCCATCCTTGCAAATTATTTCAGACTATAAAGATGCAGGAAGCACACACACAGGTGTTGACAGGTCCTGGCATAAATGAAGAGGTTACCTTCCCAAATTTCCTATCACTCTTCTGCCTTGTAACAGTGTTGGGTGAACCGAGATATCTCCTGGATCTTCAGGAGATTAAATTAAAATAAAATTAAGTCAAGATGCTGTAGTCTGAATTGTGGCAACCAAGGAGCTGGCACAGGTTCTCTTTTGCCAACTCTGTTATGCAGGCAGTAGTGAAGGGAGTAACACCTTCTTACACCTCTGGCCAAAAAAGGTTGTCTATCAACACCCTAATTCTTCGTGTTTCTTAAGGCTGCAGACCACAAATTAAATTTTAGTCTTCGATAATGTATCTGTACATCCAATGCCTTAGCTTTACAGTGCCATTAAAAATCTAGATGACCTCTCTTAAAAAATTATTCAGACTCCCTTACTGACCAATCTGGTCAGTACAGTGGGTTTTTAATTAAAACCAGCCATTTAACATTTTATTCTAGCAACCTTTTTGTTTCTCATCTGTGTGAAATACAAAGATGATGTCCATTTTTAGCAATTAAAAACTCTCACAGAACTGGGTAAAAGCAGTAGTATTAGACATTATGCCATGGCCAACTTCCAGTTTTGATGACTAATTTCTGCATGTCTTGAGTCCCCTGCAGTATCCACTTACAATATAATATTTTCCATTTCCTGACTTGCATGGTTGTGTACAGTTGCTGTGCAAAGTTGAACAGCTAACGGTTCAGACATAGCTGTGTTTTATTTGCGAATAAAGTGTCTCAGCCTTTTTTCTTACCATCTTACTGACTTTATCTTTTCACATGTACAAATAAATGCATGTATATGAGCAGAAAAATAGTACTGACTGTGCTGTACACTACTTATGCACATATTTATACTTCTCTGTGTGTGTATCTTTGTGTTTGGGCTCAGTCAGGGTGAAGGCTAGTGTCTAACATGGAGATACTGTTACATAGTGCAATAAAAGAGAAGAAAAACCCACCCTGCAGTCAAAGAGAAGTGAGGCATTATAGACTGTGGGGGGAATAATTAATTGGGATATGGGTATGCATTAGTGGAATATTTCGATTTATTTTGGATTAATGTAATTTGTATGAAGTGCTTTGGCAATTAAGGTGAGGTTGAATAGTTGGTGCTATTGGAACACCCCGTTATGGAGGAGCATATTCAAACCTGACCTCTCAGATCATAAGTAAGAGAAATCATGTAAGCAGGCATTTTCCCCAGAAAAAATTCCACGTTTGATTTTCCCTCTCCTGTTCAGCAGGTCCAGGGTCAGCTGCCTCCATTAATGATTCCCGTATTCCCTCCAGACCAACGAACCCTAGCAGCAGCTGCACAGCAAGGATTCCTTCTTCCTCCTGGTTTCAGCTACAAAGCGGGATGCAGTAAGTCCTGTAGATTTTTTTAGCTGGAAGTGGGTATAAGGCAAGATTTCGTGCCAATCTGCATAAAAGTATCACCTCTCTAGCCCAATGAACAAGGCCATTAATTTGCACAGATGAGTGTAAAATAGAGGATCAGTCGTTAATGTATGAGAAAAGATCGTCAGCAATGAAGTATGTGTTTTAACATAACAGCAAAACATTTCACACAAGTAGATTTGTGCACAGATCTTTTTAACAACTGAACATGCTCATGACCACACATACGTACATATATCTGAAGAGAAGGTATTTGAAACTTCCCAGTAAAATTCAACACTGTTGTAAGAAAATATGTTTTTTTCCTGAAGCAGTCTGCTTACTATTTGTGAACTGAGGGCCTATTCTAGTCTCTTCCTTCACACAGAACTCACATTAATCTCAACGGGGGTTCTGCACAGAGATCAAAGATAGCATATGCCTTTCAGTTTGATGGACTAACACAAACTATGAGTATATTTATGAGAGCCTAACACTAAAAAATATAGCACCTACTTTTTTAATCTCTGAAGGATTTGTATTGTTCTCTACACTCCCCAGATTTTTTTTGGAAATTTTATGTAAGCCTTCTATAGGATTTCATGTTCCTGCCAACAGGATGATAATAAATACAAGTTAAGGAATAATCAAGGAACTCCATTTCCATGAATAGTCTTAGCTAGAGCATGAATTGCATAGACTCGTTTTCATGTATTTGTGCTTGTATAACTCTTCTGACATCAGGTTCCTACTGACTTATCTAGGACTTGCTTACTCTATGGTTCTGTCTCTAGCATGGGTGTTTAGCTTTATTATGTCCCTGTCGATGTAAACATCTGTATCATTGACTAACTCATGAACTCATCAGTTTTGAGTTACTCAGCACTTACCACTGCAGCAGTTTCATAAAATTAGAACATAAAAAGATTCCCGTAGTTAAACTGGCTTAGCCCACAATTTCAGATTTCTTTCAGTTTCTGTAGCATTGTAGATCCAGTACTTGAATGTGAACTTGAGTTTCTTTGGCCACTAATCCCTTTTCCTAATGTTTTACAGACTGGGACCACTACTGAAAATTACTGTTCAAAACACTTCACATCCCTCAGCAGCTGCAGTGCCAAAGCATAGGCTCATTCAGTTCTTCCAGTGATTTCACACTCAGTCTCTCTCAAATGGGAGAAGTAGTGATTCACATTACAGAATGTTTAACTGAAAGCCACACTGAATATGAACGGTACCATAACTGTAGGCCTGGAAAAGGTCAGGAAAGCACCCCATTAGATATATCTGGCAGATTAAATTAGTTCCATGTTAATCGAGTCTGGTTTGAGTAGAAAGAGTTGAGGTTGTTTTTTTTTTTTCCCTTCTTTTTACTGCAGGTACATTAACTGTAAGACAGTCCTGTAGTTCTTCACATCCATGAAGTACATATGACATTGCATGTTTGTGTAACCTTGAAAATTAAAAAGAAAAAAGAGCAAAGTTACTGCTGCCTCTGGCAGTAAGGCTTGGAATTAACAGCATGCCAAGGTCTAGGACTGAGCAGAAGCCAGTGGAAAAAGACAGCTCTATGTTTGGTGATTCCCTGGCATGTTTGACTGAATTTGACTGAGAAGCTGAGGAAAAGTGATAAGTAGTCCAAAGGATTTTTTCTTTTCACTCACAGTTTAGTGTAAACAAAAAAGAATATATGGATTTAGCTACACCTAGAAAGCTTGTGGCAATGAAAAACGTAGCTGCCTTAAAACTATAACATGTTCACATCAAGTAATGTTTTTGACAGGCCATTAAAACATATTTCTCCCACTTTTCTGCTTGCCCTTCTGTGTATCTGTCCTCTTGGCAATGATGTGGTAGATTGTAAACCAGAGAGCCTTGGATAAAATTTTCTAAAGCACCTGAGTGATTTAGGAGACTAAATCTTCATTTGAAGAGTGACAAAGACACTAGGATCTAAGTCTCTTAGGCACTAGGATCTAAGTCTCTTACTTGTTAAATATCCTCAGAGGATATTTAACAAATGTTTATACTGTAAACTTCAGTACAGTCGCCTATGCTAGCCAGAACTGAGCTAAAGTGAATACTGCACTCCACTGCAACAGAAGATGTACAGCAGATTAATTTGTTCAGTTTCTCAGCACGTTAAATGCCTGACTTTCACTGAGTTTGCTTTTGGATGCAAGGCATTCCTATGAACTTCTGAAGACCCCTCTACCAGCATCCTTACCTGACTGCCATTGTGTGTTTTAAATTTGGCTTATGTACCTTATGAAAATGGAGCCTCACTTCTACATCTTCCTGGTCCTTTTGGAAAATCTGCCCCTTTTTCCGAACCGACAGATTTTCAGAATTATTTAGTGTGGCTGTCTGATAGGAATTCTCTAGTGATGATTATGTTATTTAGTAGCATTAACAACAAGCACATAGGAACGATAAAAATCTCCATTCAGTTCCAGTCACAGATAACAAAGAACTATGAAAATTTTTGCATATTGCTTTTCAATAAAAGGGAGATTTGAAAATTTGGTGGAGTAGGAACAAGGAATTGTTGTGACAACCAATATTTTCATAACTAGCTAATGATGTTGAGTACCTTGATTATGGATATTCTGCTGGGGACACCTTCAAAGGGACATTTATACTGCTATGTGCCCTGCCCCTTTGAAAAGTCAGATCTCCAGAAGAGTATCTCAAAATCATCAGCATGTCATCTAAGGCACTGCAGATCTCTAGTCAGTTGTGCTGTTGGTCACACCTGATGCCTGGGTTACTTGCTGCCTTCACTCTGCAGGCCAAGTAGCTGAAGAAATAACCGTCTCTGGTTGCTCATCACTGTGCCTCTAACTTCTGACATGCTGACCAAGCTGCTTGGTTAAACACTCCCTAACTTGCTTCTGTCCAGGCTGGGATATCAAGGACTTTCTGTTAAAATTGCTTAAACTGAGCTGGCTCATTGTAATGAAAACATGTTGGGAAGTGATTAAACAAGCAGCTTGGTCACAGTGGTAACCTTTGGCAGGGGGCTGTGATTGGAGATGGTGACCTCTTCAGCCAGCACAGCTGCAGCTGGAAGAGAATGTGTGATCAAACCTTGAGGTCAGTGAAAGATTAAAAATTATGAATACCTAGTTAATACTACTATCTTTGTTCCATTCAGCTTAGATAATGAAACCAGACTAACTTAATGCTTTCTGATTCACCTGTCCATGTTAGAGCAACAAAGGGTCAAATGTATGTCTCCCAGTGGTTTCAGAGAGTGTATGTGGTAGGGTTGCTCAGTCAGTGCTTCCCAATGGACTAATGACTTATCCAGAGAGAGACCGTGGAAAGGAAGAGTACTGTTTTCTCTAGTCATACTTCTTTTTCTCAGGATTTGACTGAGGATAACACAAAAATAGTCATAACAGTTCATAGCATGGGTCCATTTAGATTCCTTTCATGGCAGATACCTAAAGAAAAGTAGAACAGGGCAAAAGTATACTGATACTTTATCCCCCTGTACTTTGCTAGGTTCCAGTGGCTGGGGACTCAGGGACCTTCTGACCCAGTGATGGCATTGCTGCGTTAGAGCTCTTCTGTCTGTTATTGAAAACAGAGGTTTCTCTGCTTGGGTTGTTACCTGATTGGAAACATTCTGGACGGCTGAAACGCTCAAAAGAATACAACAATGTCAATCTCTAATATGTGCAGAACAAATTATTCACTTATACTTCTCCAAATATTTTGCAAAATTGGGTAAATACAGGGAGAAAAGGGGTAAATATTTTCTCCATGGTTACATGGAAGGTCATGGTCTTTGGCTTCCAATTTGATGTAGTAAACTTCCTTTTATTTCTTTTTCTCCATAGCAGATCATGCTTGGGAGTGGCTTGGTTTTTCATTTTGTTTTGTTTTTTAAACAGATGGTTTGCATTACATAAGGGACAATTTACACGAGTTGACACTTCCCCTTTTTTCTCTATGGCATATTGTGTGATGGTAAAGTTGGCAGAGAAAAAGGGAGGAACTTCTATTAGGATTACATTTCTATTTGAGAAAAAGACTCATAATCTATGCTTCCAGTTGATTTTTAACCTCCATACTTAGATGTAATTGTATGGTATGTAAAATAATTAATACTATTATTTACAACCAAAGCATTTTTTTCATACGAGAAAATTAAGTTGGCAGTACGTGATGGACTATATTGTCCACAGTTAGCCAGAAAAATGCTGATTACCTACTTACTTGCTACATACCTGGTTATCCATTCGCAGTATGATATTTGGAATTTAAATATTTTTATGTAAACCTCTTTATATGTATTTTTGTTATATGCATAATATGTAATAGTTATATAGATGTATAATGCAAATCTCATTATAAAGAGTTGATGTTTCAAAGTGGACTGTTAACTAAGTTGCCTGTGGCATAAGCGGATGTTAGGAGTTAACCCCAGTATCTGAAGTATATGAATTGGTTTTAGCAGCGGATGAGCACCTTCCATTTCAGCTGATGTTGAAACCAAACAGAGGCCCAATTACTGCATTTCCCAAACTATGGCAAAGCTTCTCCCACATTTAGGCTATGCAGATGGGCTCAGGTTATTTAACCCTTCTCCGTTTATTCTCAATCAGCATTCCTTAACCCTGTCATTTTTTACTACTGCTATTACTAGTTCAGCTCCACTTGCGATACTTGCTAGATAATATGCATGACTCCCAGCATTTCAGCAATGGCGAGTGATATGTCAGCTCTGCTGAGGTCTGAGGAGCTGTTGCTGTTGACTTCACTGAAGTCAGATTTCACACCAGATGATACAGATCTGCTAGGGCCACTCTTAGAAATAATTAGAATTTATTTAGAGCTAATTAATATTTGTGAAGCGCCTTGAAAGTATAAAAACAGTGTAAGTGATAGAAGAGAAGTTTTGTATTGTGCCCTTTCAAAACTGCATAGTTCTGCGTCAGAGGAGTCTGCTCTTTAGTCGTAGGTAGTGTGATCCT